ACACTTGTCAAAGTATGTGATCCATGGACCTGATGAGATTTATCTATGGGGGGGGTGTGTGTGGAAGAACAAAGACAAGACATCATTTTTTTTTTTTTCCTTTAGATATGTGTAATAGATTTTTAATATCCTTTTTATTTGGGCTAGCAAGTAATCTATGCTGTGTGTGTGTAAAATCTGGGTCACTGTAATAGAAGCTCTACTTACACAGACTGAACCCCATTAGGAATATGCGCGATGAACTGATCTCGTGTGACAGTGTTAAGCTCTGGAACTCTATTCCTCACCCAGATTTCAGAGAGAACTTTCTGGACGTTCAGGGATATTACAGGAACAAGACTCAGTATTTTAGATGTTTTTATGGAATAGATTTATAATTGGCACCCAGCGCACAGTAGAAAACCGGTAACAGGTTAACTTTACATTTTGGCACAGGCGTTAAATGTGTAGTAAACATTAAAGATGGTTATTTTTTGTTAGTGTTACAAGAATTGTGATTCCTGCAAAGCTAATACATTGATTAGACAGCAACGTAACGAAATTTTTGTTTTTAATATCACCATAAAGTGAAGGAGGTCACTGTGATTACCTCCTCCTTCAGGAGATGAGCGATGGCTGTTAGTAACAAGAGTGTGAAATAACACTAGTTAAAAACCCCAACAATGCACAACCCTGGCCAGTGACTGTTACAGCAGAACATTAATTCAGGCAGAGACTGGAGATCTGAGCCAAGAAGGTCTGGTGTGGTACCAGCTGTGAAAAAGATAAAAGGCTTAATATCAAAGTAAGATCTCTTTGGCTGTATCTTCTAAGAAAAAAAGATACACTAGTACAGGTAACCTGCAAAGCATGTCTTCATGAGCAGATAATCCATTTACTAAAGTTAGAACTCAGCTACGTAGCATTTTTGCCAATGTAATTTTTTTTTCATAAATTAGATGCAGAAGTAAACTGCTTCGGTGCAAAGAATCACATCTTTAGCTCTACATTTATTAAGCAAGCTAATGGCTGGCAATTACACGCATGTTTATCAAAACACTGTTACAGAGAAATAATTAGTTGATCGGTTATAAGTAACATACCCCCCAGTTAAGTCCTTTTACATAAGTAAGCAGTCATACCTATTAGCAAAAAAAGGCATAATTTGCAATGCGCTGATTTTACTTGCATTGGTACAGATATAAATAATGATGTGTTGGTCCAATCTCAGACAACTATTGGCTTTTGGTAAAAGTGAGGATTTTTTGAGGAATAGGTAGCATAACACTTCCGATGCCTTAGAAGGATGTTGAGAGAGAGAAAGGAACTAGAATTAAGTTTAAGAAACGCTATTGAGGAATACAGTTTCCATGATGCATTGAATTTGATTTTCAGTTCAGATTTTATATTCTCTGTCTAATAATAATAATAATAAAAAAAAAAGATTGTGTATGAAAAGCTTTATATACTCTGCCAACAACTGGAATTCTGTCACTTCCTGTAAATATGAAAAATTATTTTTTTGACACAAATGCACTTATATGGGTAGTGACTGTATGCCAATAAAAAGAGCATACGATCTCTGTATTTAACTGTTTCAGAAATCTTACTAAACAGCATACTCAGCACACCAGGAATTAAAAACACATGGGTACCGTGTCAGCTTCACACACGTTACACTGCTGGTGTTTTAGGAACTCCCTTAGGAATGGTTTTGAATGGTAAAAGCTACAGTAACATCCAGTCTTTAATTCCATACATCTGAAGTGATCTTAAACTACAACATGTGCAAATATATACAAAAGTGGGAATATCCCTTGAAAATTTGTTTGAATGCAGAAGGGATGGTGCGGAATCAAGTGAAAAGTGGTTTCCATGCAAATATTGAGGATGAATACAACAAACCCAACGTGAGTACGTGCCCCCCGGTGCCCCTTACACCATCCAAGAACAGGAGCTGGCTGCCACCGTGGGTAGGCCAAGCAAGCAGTTGGGTAGAACATCCTAACTTAAAGACTGAGCAACTACACACTTTTTGAAACGTGGCCTGATAACTGGTTTAGAAAAAAAATCTGCTAATTATGTTTTTGAGACCCTGTCTTGTGGGAGAGGTTCGAGTCTAGGCCGCTGCATTTAACTCCTCTTAAGATCTGTGTTTAATAGAAAAATGGAATAGCTCCCTCTTGTTTAAAACCAGCCGAGCCTGTTAAGTAAAATACTTGCCACTGTGCATGTATTTAATTGCTTGTTAACTAAATTTTTTTAAATGGCAAATATAAAAGCGATGGCAATGTAAGGATTGGCTCTTTTTCTCCAGATGTTGCCTTTGTTTTGTTAAATACATGAAAAGTTATCAATTAATTTGCATCAATAATACGCAGAAGCACACTTTGAAGGAAGGCTTAATTTTTGTGTCTTCTTTGAGCTCTGAGGTGTTATTAATGGCTCTTCACTCCGCTGCCCTGGGAGCTTTGCTGGACGAAAGGGAGTAGGGCAGTGGTGCACTAGGCTGGTTTGCCATGTATGTGATCCTACTGAGACAAGCTTCTTCAAGAGCTTTCAGTAGTCCTTTTTTTTTTTTTTTTTTTTTTTTGTACCGTCTTGAGGCAGAACTGCTGATTCAATATATGTTTTAAAAACCCTAGACCTTCTCTTTACTGTACAGAGACGCGGAAAGCTTTTTGTTGTCCTTTTTTTTTTTTTTTTTTTTTAAATAATACAAACTGCCTACTATGTGAATTATACTAGATGTACAGCAGATTTCAAGCAGTGGAGGTTGTAGCACCGAGCGAGATCAGTTAATAAAACAGAGTGGTGTGAGATGGAGGGCAGAAAAAGTCAAACCATGGCTGGTCATGCTGCTCCAAGGCTCCTGCTGCCTGCAGGGTGCTCCTGCCCCAGGCTCTGTGCCCACGGGACTTTCTCATGAGACCTGCAGGTCAATAAAGTCAGAAAACAATTCTTTTTTCACAGCTGGCTTAATTCTGTACCATTTAGGCATGTTAAGAGGAAGTGCTCGGGAGTTTATCTCAAGCCCAGCCATCTCAGGGTCCCAAGGGCTTTGCTCCATGCCACAGACACATCATGCCACACACATCAGCTATGAGGAAGAACTTCACGGTGAGGGTGACAGAGCCCTGGAACAGGCTGCCCAGGGAGGCTGTGGAGTCTCCTTCTCTGGAGAGCTTCCAAGACCTGCCTGGATGCTGTCCTGAGTGATGTGCTCTGGGCAACCCTGCGTTGGCAGGGGAGTTGGACTAGATGATCTCTAGAAGGTCACTTCCAGCTACAACAGTTCTGTGATTCTCCCCCCTCCTCTGCCTTCCCTCTCCCAGAGCGAGGAGTCTGTAATTCAGGCTCTCACCTGGCAACTCCACTGCGTTCCTCGGCAATAGAAGAGACCGAGAGCTCATCACTGTCATCTCAACAAGCCTCTGCTAAAGGAGTGTTTTCTTGTTCCGAGATGTTCAAGGAATAAGGGGGCATAAATTTAAACAGAATCACTGTGTTGAATCTCAGCAGCGCTTGCAGGAGGAGCCGCGGTGCTGGGTGCCATGAGGTGGGACACCGTGGGCTGTGTCAGCGGTGTCACAGTGCAGGACGCGTGGGGACACTGCAGCACCTCGCTGGTGGGAAGGGAAAAGGAAATAAACCAGCTTTTTTCTTGCTCCTTGTACCACAGCTTCTTAAGCTGGAATCTTGGGATTTTATTTTTTAAAAACAAGCTTGAGTAAGTGCTTGTAATGGCCTGTCCAGTGCTTTGCTTCCTGTACATTTTATGAAATAAATATTCATAACATTTAAATTATAGATTCATAGAATGGTTAGAGTTGGAAGGGACCTGGAAGACCATCGAGTTCCAAGCCCCCTGCCATGGGCAGGGACACCTCCCACCAGACCAGGTTGCTCAAAGCCCCATCCAGCCTGGCCTTGGACACCTCCAGGGATGGGGCATCCACAGCTTCTCTGGGCAACCTGTTCCAGTGTCTCACCACCCTCACAGGAAAGAATTTCCTTCTAATATCTAATCTCTCCTCTTTCAGTTTAAAACATATCCCTCTCCCTGTCACTCCACTCCCTGACAAAGAGTCCCTCCCCATCTCTCCTGTAGCCCCTACAGGTACTGAAGGGCCATTATAAGGTCTCCCCGGAGCCTTCTCCTCCCCAGGCTGACGGACCCCAGCTCTCAGCCTCTCTTTATAGCAGAGATGCTCCAGCTCTCTGTGCATCTTCGAGGCCTCCTCTGAACTTGCCCCAACAGGTCCATGACCTTCTTACGTTGGGGGCTCCGGAGCTGGACCCAGCGCCCCGGGTGGGGTCTCACCGGAGCGGAGGGACAGCCTCACCCCCCGTGCCCCAGCGCCGGCCGGAACCAACCTTCCCGGCGCCCGCCCCGAGAGGCCGCCGGCGCCCTGTGGCCGCCGCACGCCCGGCGCTGGCAGCGGAGCGGGGCGGGGCGGAG